CATCAGCTATCGGCTTTACATTTAGGACATTTCATAATATTGAAGGTTAGGTCTGGCTAGCTCAGGAAATATTTTGCTTCGTTTGAAATGGCGAGGGGTTGCTGCATGCATGTATTTCTAGTAAGCTTTTATTCTATATACGTGAGGTAGGAGATCTTTACAAGGTTTTAACTGATGTTTACTAATGTTCGTTTCTGGATGCTCTTTCTCTTCTTTTGGATCTTTGTCGTTTACTGTTCTTGTCTTTTTCGTCGGTTCTGTAAGGTTGAGCTTCTTCAACGTTTCATATGGTTTTTACATCGTGTTTCAAAATAAACTAATTCAAAGTTTTTCAAAGCGACGTTTTACCTTTGCCTTATTTGCCGAAAGGAAATACGGCTCGTCTCAAACAACAATATTACAGACAATTCTTTATTTCTAATCATAATTTCTCATCAGTATATTGTGTACAAGCGTTGGCGCACCGCTAGTCTTGTTGGTCTTTTGCTACCTCCGTCAACCTAAAATACTTATATCATCAACATATTGTTACGAAATGCGCATATTATATAATGTAATTTAGCATTGTTAAGAAATAGAAGCCCATGGGATTTCCTCCGAAACAATAGTATGTCGTACAAAGTACAAGTGTCACGACTCAGGAACATAAGTTCTAGGCAGATACTAGGTTGTGTCAATCATTTCTTTGTTATATTTTGCTCGGTTAAGCACTTGAAGCCTTACGTCACTAAAAGCTTAATTCGATGAAATTATTAGTAAAATAGTTTATAAGTTAAGATACGGTTCACAGAGTAATAAGTTGATAATCCTACCTAAGTTAATGATAAATATTTTAAGCTGTGAACAAGTTTTAACAGTGATCGATTAAGTAAAAGGCCAACTTAACTAGTGCGTCACCGCCCTTAGGTAAACAAAGTATGAGAGCTGGGCCGAGCTTCTATAACGCCAACCCACTCTTGCAACCTACAACGCTGATTGGATAGAGTGAATCACATAACCATGCTTTTGTACCGTATGCTTGTTAACTTTATTCCAATCATTTTTTTTATCTGCCGATTTTGTTGGGCGTATTCAGCATCAGCTTGAAGTAATCTTATAACTGTTAGCAAGGACTTTTTCTCCTCTTCTAAGCTGTTTACATCTTTCTTAAGTGACCCCATTCCGTACACCAGATTTTCACAGCGCTCTAATACGACCTTATTCTCAGCCTTCAACGAAGCATTCTCCTGAACAATATTATCACTGACCTGTGACATGACTGCCTTAACAGAATAATTCTCAACGATATTTTGAGTAGAGACACACGGTTGATCACTGCCTTCAGTGTCTGAGTTTAGAAGAAGCCGGTTTAGAAACCGGTTTTCCACTAGTAGTATTTTTCGCGCAAAGCAACTTTATTCCTTTGTATTAATCGAGCAATTCGTTCCAGATGGTTGCATTTGAGAGCTCTGGAACAAAAGTAAAATGTCAATTCGCGCGAAAAATATCGCTAGTGGAAAACCGGCTTAAGGCTGTTTTCCACTTACGTGCGTTTTTCATACGCACATACACGCACGTTAAAGTCCAAATATTTATACATGTTACCTTTGAAAAAACTAAGTGAATAAATCGAAGGAAATTTATTTTCTGCATATTTTAGCATGCATTAGTTGACCTAGATGTTAAGTAATAAAAATTTAAAAGCGTTTAAAATTTTCCGTATGTTTGCGTGCGTATGAAAAACGTGTAAGTGGAAAGCAGCCTTTACAAAGTAATAAAATAAAAATTTTATTTTTACAGCGCAATCGTTCGCTAGCGAAATATTTGCATATTTTCTTTTGAATTTTAACAGCATAAATAAATTAATGCGACTTGACTGTTCTCAATTCAAAAGAAAATATGCAAATATTTCGCTAGCGACGATGCAAGAACATTAATACAGCTCTAAAGCGTAATATGTAGATAAGCACCTCTGGGAATTGAAAATGGCTCTTAATCCTTCATTTAATATGCTAAAAGTCATTTTAGCTGAACTATGGTGCAAACCCGAACAATATTAATATTCTTGCATGTTTAAGTGGTTGCTGTTTTTTTTTAAAACAACCTGTAAGTGGAAATACGCCTTTAAAGCCGGTTTTCCACTAGCGATATTTTTCGTGCAAAGTGACTTTATTCCTTCGTATTTGAGCAATTTGTTTCAGATGGTTGCAGTTTAAAGCTTGAGTCAGTCATTTCTGTTCATCAAACATCATTTCTGTTCATCTATTTTTTCACTCTTAAATTGACTTAAAAGATAATTATTATTCGCTTAAAATGTCAAGTGCATGCTATTGTCGGCATGTTGTTAAAACCATAAACATCATGAAATGTGGTCCAGCACCAGCTGCCTAAAACAAAAACATATGGCTACAGGAAATTATCATCTTCTAACGCCTTAAAAATATGAAATATCATAAGAAGGAGAACACATTTTAGCATGTCTATATAGGGCCCATGCAAAGTTCTCATGCAGAATTTGCTTTCAGAGTTGAATTATAAAAACTGAAAATTGCGTCGTGTTGGCCTTAAATATATTTATTTTCGGGTTATATTCAGAAAGGAAGCATCAGCACCTGCTGCCGCGTGTTAACGAGCCTGGGGAAACGATAGTTTGAATTCGGCCTGTATAATCAAATTATATTCAGGCGCCATACTCAATATTAAAAGTAATTCAAAATTCGTATCAACAAAATATTTCAAAAATTCGAGATAACAAGTGTCTAAACCGTTTTCTAAAATGCTTGCATCATTTTCTCAGGTCACGTGTGACCTTCTGATACAAAACATGGAGAGATACCAGGTCTGAATGGATGCGGTTTGAAGTCATGAAAGACCTTTTCTTCACTCACTAAATTCACCTAAAAGACTTTTATACTTTTGATATTTTCCTAAAGCGTTCATATAAGTGAATGTTATCGTGTTGTGCAAACCATAAACATCATTAATGCTTTTTACGCTGTTTCTGCCTAAAACGTTGGCATAGTTACAGAAAACTCTCGATGTTTTGACCTTAGAACCCTTCGTAACCAATTATACCAATAATAAATTATCCTATATTCTAGAAGACACGCAAACGTTAATTTTAATATATATCAGTGTTCATAATTGTCTTTCTGTCTATGAAAGACCTCCTTGTCCGAACAAGGTTGTGACTTATTTGGTTTTCTAGTGAAAGGTTTGGGCCGCGATACTTTGTAAGCCCAACAATCAGCACCTGCTGTCGCGTGTTAACAGGCCTCGTTAAACAGTAGTTTGAAAGAGGTGTAGCTCAGTATATCATCAGACGCAATGGCTGTCTCACTTGTCTTTTTTGCGCTAATTTTGTTCTTAAAAACATCCCAGCCGGGTGAATGTCTAGATCTAAACACCAGGCAGATCTTTTTTCGCGAAATTAAACAAAAGTATTTGCGGAATCATGTCATCGGAACAAAACAGGCCGAAAACGAATTTGAATGTGTCATGCATTGTGTTGACGATTTTTCGTGCGAGTCTGTAAATTTTAAAACATCTGGAGTTGGAAAAGGTTTGTGCGAACTCAACAATTTAACACTTCCAGGGACAAATGACGTGGATGAAAGTATTCTTAACCCAGAGTTCGTCCATCTTCACATCGTCAGAGAGGTAAGAAAAAAAGGAGCAAATAATTAGTTTCTCGTGTTTGTCGACGGATTGTCAGAAAAACTCTGAAGAAGCATGTAACTATAGTGGATGGTACCGAACTACCGGTGAATTTGCATATGTCTTTGTTCAGATCGGTTCATTACTAGTGTAAGATAATCGTTCCATGTCCATATTTTCATATTAGTATAAAGATGTATTTCACTATAATTATACAAAGGCGTACGGAGGCTTCTATTGCTTGGGGGTAGACTATGAAAACAGGCAGTATATTAATTCTTGTGATATATAGCTACATGCATACCTCCAAGAATAAATCCCGCAATGAATAAAACAGTTAAGTGATGCCACCATGGAAACCAAGTTGGCCCCTATATATATAGCTTTACAAGATGCTCTATATCGGGTCGTCATTTTTTTATTTATAGACAGAATCGAATCCTGTTCAATCAATTGTCAAGTCTCACACAACACAAAAATCAGGTAAACAGAATTATAGAAGAGTGTAGGGAAAATCATAACTAGGAAAAACCGGAAAAGCGATCTCTATATATATATATGCATGTCAGTGGCGAAAAATGCTATATGCAAGGGAATTTCGTGTTGCCAGTAGACATCGCCGATTTCCAATGAATTAAAGTCCCGCTTGAAAAATTACTACAATATTTATTATTACTAAAACATGATTCACTTCTATATGCAGTTCAAAAATTGATTGGTTATAGCAAAACCTCTCGTTGGCCCTTGTCGAGACCGAGAGGCCTTAATAATATATTAGGTAACAACCGTTTGAAAAATTACCACAATAATATTACTAAAACAATTCACTTCTATATGCATGCATTTTAAAAATTGATTGGGTATAAAAAAAAACTCTCGTTGGCCCTTGTCGAGATCGAGAGGCCTTATAATATAAGTAACAACCGTAGAATAAATTCGTCGCATATATCTCATGTTTATGTGCATGACACAAGTCAGTCCCAAATCATCAGTTATTTTAGATTATTTAAGTAAATAGCAGATATAAATAGAGATTATAAAGAGAGACTGAGTTCACTTGTTTTGAGGGGGGAGGGGTAGAAAATAAAGCAAATTAGCCTTCATCATGCACGATGAGGAATTTATATAACATTTTCTGACCTGCTTTTATCAAGTCTGTAACCGTAGACTAATTCGGGCGACATGTTCCATATTATATGGTATTTATATAATACAATATTTTTTGATAATTTTACCTCCTTGCAGGAGATTTTGATCTAGTTCTGAAGAACGTTCAAAACTTTACTTTGCACGACGAGGATGTACCAGAATTGTCCAATTTTACACTTATGTTTTGGATCAACATTATTTCGGAAGCAGATTCAATGACAATCTTATCCTATGTTGTCAGCGAAAATACCGAAGGATTTTGGCTGAAGATTTGGAGAGAAAGGATTATCCTAAAGTTTCATTTATCGAAAAAGTATGAAATATTTTCGTTTTAATGAATGGAGAAATTTGTATAGCAAAAAACACACAACAGAGGTCGAATGGCCAATGAGTTGATTACTTTATTGTTCTATTTCGCGGAAAATGAATTTTTCAATGTCCTAGTTTTTGTAGGTTGTAATCTACTTCGAAGAATTCTCTCCTCACACTTGATCTTTTCAGGGTTTTTCTTGCCCCACCAATCAATGACGGGTATTGGCATCACGTGGGAGTATCGTGGTCTCTTGGAAAATACGCTATTTTTCTTGACGGTACATTGGTTTACAGTGGAAATGATCTCGGCTCGAGTTCACCGTTGAAAGCTGGAGGTGTCTTCGTTGTAGGACTGAAACTAAAAAGCACAAATGGGACTTCCAAGCATTCATTCTCTGGAAAACTGAGTCAACTAAATGTATGGAGTGAGTTTTTATCTTTCACAGACGATGTCGAAAAGAAATTTACAAACCAAAGTTGCTTAGATATTGAATTTGGAGATGTCATAAACTGGAGTTCTCTTAAGAACAACATGTACAGCTATGGTGATATGGTCGTCAAGCAACAGCCAAGTTCGTGTAAGCCACTTCGAAAAAGTAAGTGCTGATTATCAGTTATGACAGACCTTGTGAAATGCAACTTGCATGGAATCATTTCCCTTTTCAAACGTTGTCGAACTCTGAAGTTCATGCACCTGGTAGAAAAGAAAATATTTAATTAACCTTCTTCAGGCCCAAAGTATGACATTGTTATAACACAATCACAGGACGTCCATACCTTAAAATGGGAAGAAACTCAACCTCTCGACGCTTTCACAATTGCAACGTGGATAAAATACGAGAAGACGCAAATGGATCTGGACACAGAACCTCTGTATCACAGATATGTTGATTACAAAAACGCTTCAGGAACCTCTTTGCTTTTATTTTACCTTACCGCAGGAAATCTCACCTTGGAAATAAATGGGGTTCACAAAAGGCAAAAGATTTTATCATAACATATACCTTTCAGAAAGAATGTTAGGCGAATCTGTTGTGAAACTTTTCCTGATGAGAGCTTGATAAACGTTCGAGCCTGCATCTGAAAACATTTTCGAAATGACAAAAAATTAGTATAACTCATGGCTTTCCAAAAGGAAATCTACTATCAAATGTTATGCCGTTAACCTAGCTATTTTTTACCCGCTTGAAATACAATGAGAGAGGTTATGGTGCCAGTACTAACTATTGTTCAAACTTTTCAGACAAGCAAGAATACCAATCTTTTGGAATGAAGAACCAGCATATTGGCACCATATTGCTACCACATGGTCGAGTAGTACAGGTCACTGGGAGATATATCTGGATGGTTCCTTGGTCTCTATCATGCATGATGTCGCTTCAAATATTACCATTCCTGCAGGAGGACAATTTTCCTTGCAATTAAGTAAGAGGCACAAAAGTTTAGTTCAAAATTTGCACGCTGCACTTGAACTCTCTCAAGCTTTTTGTTTTTTTCTTCGAGACCTTACTGGTTTTTCATGTTCCTTTATAGGATATGTGCACGAAAAAAATCGAAAATTAATAATATATTAATATAATTATATATATATATATATATATATATATATATATATACCAGCAGATGACCTTGTTTCCTTGTTAACTTGTTAGGCATGTCAGACAAAGAGAAAGGAAAATATTATATTCCAACGTTTTCCTGGAAGAATTTGTTTCTTCATAATAACATAATAGTACCATATTTAGCGATGACCATGAGTATAACAAAAACGAGGCTATTTGCACGGTAAAAATGGATCAGCGAAAAGGTCTGTTACTATCGAATTTTAGGTGGATACATGCACAATATCTCTCAAAGTAGACTGAATATTTGGAACTATGAAATTGATGGACATGCTTTATCGTTAATGGCAAACAAAGGACCATTGTTTGAAAACGGTAATATCTTTGCGTGGTATGGAATAAAGTCAAGGGTTAAAGAAGATTTTTACTTCAAAGAGACACCGGATGACTTAAACAACTCTCGTAAGTATGACGTGGTCTAGAATTATTCACTTGACGTTGTATTTTAACAATTATATAAAACAACAGAAACTCGGTAAATAATAAACATTTTAAAAATTATTACTACGTTTCGACTATACCCTATGTACCATAGTTAAAGTTTTTTTTATTGTTCATCAAATTCGATGACAATAGGTTAATCGAAACGTAGAAATTAAATTTTTCAAAATGTTTACTTTTTACGAAATTTCTTCTGTTTTATATTTCGGTAAACGTAGGTATACAGTGTTCAACTTTCTTATGTCTTATTTAACTGATTACTGTCTTAATTATCTTGACTAAGAAAGTATTTAATAAAAATTGTTTTGTGATTTTGGATAATTTTTCTATTCGGTTTCATTTTCTCCTCATTCTGTCGATGATTAACCTTGTCAGCTGACGCTTTTGTGATTGTTTTCTCTCGCCAGGAGCAGAGTCGGTGTATCAGATGAGTTTTCCTGAAGCTTCGGTTAAAAACTATGTCAAAATAGAAAAGGTCGTTAACTACAATTTAACGGAAGTTTCCTCCTGTTTTTGGGCGAAATTTTTGAAAACCAAGTGTGCCATATTTGGCTACTCAAGTCTCAACTACAATGTAGAAATTCAAGCTTTTTTGTATGATTCCTTGGTGTTGGAGCTTGAAATTAAGAACATTTATTCAGATAACGGGTTTGTATACAATATGAAATTTTGGCGTCCCGGTCTAAACTTAAAATAATAAATTCTTGATGCAGTAAACTTTCTGATGTCAGACAAATCTTGCTTAGGCTCACCCCGCAAGAAAGAATATCTATTGAACACCTGACCAGGAAGAGGTTACGATAACTGCATGATTGACCTTTTAGCTCCTCTTACCACTAAGTTTATTTTTCAAATCACTTAGAGTTTTTCCTGAATAAATTTGTAAGACAACAGCCCATGGACTCGATTGACTATTTTTGCACATTTTAGACCTAAGATCTCTGCCTATGACTCGTGGCATTTTTATTGCCTGCAGTGGAGAAGCTTTGATGGTTTAATAGAGGTTTATCAAGATGGGAAAAAGAGAGGAACAAAATACAGAGCAAAAAATCATACCATACATTCCAACGGTGTCGTTGTACTTGGTCAGGAATTGGATTCCTATGGCGGGGGTTTTCAAAGTCATCAAGCGTTCAAAGGGAGCCTTGCAGGGTTGAATCTCTGGAGTCAATTCTTGACCACCAATGTTATTCAGGGAATGGCGTCTGGTGTTTTGAATATTAACGGAAATCTTCTTCAATGGAGGGATTTCAGAGATCATGTTTTTGGTAACATAGTTATACAGAATGAAACTGAGGCAGGACTTCCAGGTATGTTGTGATAATTAGATTCCTTTTTTTCATATTGCCAAATTTTTTAACAGAATTAGAAAATTGTAGGCAGCAGGTTATGACGTAGAACAGAATAAATCTGAGGCAGAAATTCCAGGTATGTTGTAATATGATACATATATATGAGATTTTTCAAAATTTCTCAACAGAATTAGAAAATTGTAGACGGCAGGTTATGACGTAGAAAAGCGAATTTAAAAAAATATTTCAGTCAATATATTTTAAAAATATACGTCAGTCAGTCCTCTCGTGGGATTAAAAATTTTCCTCTCGTAATGTTTTATTTAATCTTTCAGAGCATCGAGTACAGAATCTCCGAGATGAATGGTGTGAAAGAAACATCTCTAAAGCGTTTACTTATGCAAGATTTATCCGTGGCCGGGACACGGATGGCTACAGGTGGAGATGTGTCGAGGCAGCGGCCATGTTGGATGAGAATATGTGTTACGATATCACTAAGAATTCATCCTTGTACCATACCAAGGACACGAAGAAAGAACTTTTGGGAATTAATTGAAAAACATTTCACTCCTATCACCGTAGTGCACAAAATAGACAACATTAAGGCTAAATATATTGCACTGATAAACATGTAACTCACAATAACACTGTAACCTTTATATTATAATACATAGTAACGGTTTCTAGTTGCAATGTTAATGCACATTGCTACTGGAACAATATAGCTTAATTATAAACCACTTGTCAAAGTTTGGTGTTCGTAGCATTTCATTGGTCGAGAGCGAATCACGTGAGAGTGACGAAATTTTGATGTCGCCAGTGCGACCCCCTGCAGAGTCAGATAACGTGTTATCAGATAACGTGTTATGGGAAATAACAACTTTAATCACGTGCGGCGCACTTGGACGTGCGACGTTTAGACTGTTTATCCATTTTACCTTGTAGTTTGGTTTTTCTTTGACAAGTGGTGTATAATAAAAACTTGGTGGCCAATGGTGGCTACTATCTGGGACCACGCCCGTTGAAAGAGGAGGTGCAGTCCGAAAGCCTGTCACCGATGCGTGCCTGGATGTGTACAATAGTAGGCTATTTAAATAGTGTTTAATCAGCATGCGTACAGGGCCGTCACTAGCATAAGCGTACAAAAGAAATCAGTCGAACATAAGACGAATATATGAATTTGAACCCCCCCCCCAAAAAAAAGCTTTTAGCAACGGGCTAGCGTGTGTACGAGGCCGTCGACGTTGTGCATTGGATATGTAGTAGAATAGTACATAAGTATTTGTACTTGTAGCAGAAGAGACAACTTCGTTTAAATAAAGTTTCACTTACATAATCAATTTGTGGGAAAACCTCTTTCATCGAATTATTCAGTTTTTCGCCAAGTTTTAAACACCGATGCAACGGCGTTTTCATGATAATCAACATTAGAGAGACCTTATATAAATAGCGTGCAGGTAAAGGATTGTTGTATATTATCGATCGTATCAATTCAATGAGGTATAATAACATTGGATTTATGTTTGGGACGTTTTGCCGTTGTAAAGAGAACATAGACGACGTATGAAACTTTCATTTCTTTCCAATGACCCTTTGTATTGATAGCAGCCGTCGTCACGTCTTAATCTCAATTGTTTGGGCTGGTGCACCGAAAAAAAGATATTTTAGGGGCTGTTCACATGAGCCCGGTAACCGAGATTAAGCGAAGCGTTTTCAGGTATTGAGGTAAAATACACGATTCTGGTGGTCGTTTGATCATGCTAGCAATAGCATGTGATTGCTCTGTTTCAAAGACTTTTTTCACTATTTTACTATACTAAGATATTTTACTATTTCTAGTATACCTTCAGTAACAGCAGAGTGCAGCACTGTCCACTCGTTAGTTTTCTTGCTATTTACATCCGCGCCATGTTCAAGAAGATATTTTACTATTTCTAGCGTACCTTCAGTAACAGCAGAGTGCAGGACTGTCCTCCCGCCAGCATCCTTGCCATTTACATCAGCGCCATGTTCAACAAGATAATTGATTATTTCTAGCGTATCCTTAGTAACAGCATAGTGTAGCATTGTCCACCCCTTAGTTTTCTTGCTATTTACATCAGCGCCATGTTCAACAAGATATTTTGCCGTTTCTAATATACCTTCATTAACAGCGGAGTGCAGCACTGTCCTCTCACCAGTATCCTTTCCATTTACATCAGCGCCCATTTCTACAAGATATTTTACCATTTCTATCCTACCTTTGGTAACAGCATAGTTCAACGCTGTACACCCGCCTTTATCGTTGTCATTTACATCAGCACCACATTGTTCAACTAAACATTTGGCAATGTCTATTTCATCAACATCAACAGCATGATGTAAAGCAGTTTTGCCTAACTCATCTTTACAACTTATGTCACCACCACAATATTTCACCAAAAACTTCACAATTGCTAATGATAGAGACTGCATTGGACTCTGAGAAGTTATTCCATCGTCTCGAAGATGTTTCGCACCATATTCGCAGACACTTGTACTTCCACTTGCTTCTTGCTTCTTATCAATTCCTATTATAAACGCTAAGAATTTAAAAATGAGACAATTTGATTTGGAGGGGCCCTTGCGCCGTCGAGAATTTTTTTCTCTATCGTTTCTAATGTTGAAAACAAGCCTAGTGAGTAATTAATTTTACCTAGAATTTTAGACCATTTTATTAAAATTTTCAAAATAGCTCTCTACGCAGCAAAATTTTGATCTAGTGATGTTTCTAACTATCTGACACGAACTTGGTGACAAATATTTATTAAATATTTCAGTCTCATGCTCTGGGCGAACTATAAATAGACACACTACAGGCTTTAACATAGATCAGTGGCTAAGCAAGAAAAGCACACCACTGGAAGTGAAAAATAAAAAGTGCAATACAATTAAAGACAGCCCAAAATTGCAAATGAAGTTTTGCACGTTGCTTGACGTCTAATTCTTCTTATTCCCGAGAAAGGGATGTTTAACAATATGTAAACATTGACTTATGAATCAACACCTTATTTAAACCTTCTAACCACGGTTCTGTACAAAATGCACGAGAAAACGCCGAAATTCTCTCCCCAAGATTGTTCGTATCTCGCCATTTTTATTCCTTGAGAGGAAAGATGCAAACAAACACGTTCATTAATTGGCTTAGAACGGAATCAAAGTGTCAGACACAAGACGAATACATTTTCGTCCCTGACTACAGGACTCACTTTTCACCTTCGTTTATAGCAAGGTTAAGATTTTTATATTGAAATTGATATTTATTTGGATATTTTATGCGCGAAGCTAAATAAACAAAAACTCTAACAAGACTGGACTGAAAATTCGCCCCAATCTTTGCAGCCAAGCTTAAAGCCTAAACATCATGTGATAGACTAATTCGGGCGACATGTAGCTAACATATTATTGCATTATTTATGGACCATTTTACAATAATAATTCTAAAATATTTTTTTCATAATTTTACCTCCTTACTGGAGACTTTAATCTAGTTCTGAAGAACGTTCAAAACTTTAGTTTGCACGACGGGAATGCACCAGAATTATCCAATTTTACGCTTATGTTTTGGATCAACATTATTTAATTTCGGAAGCAGACACAATTACAATCTTATTTTACGTTGTGGACGAAAATGCCGAAGAATTTAGGCTGAAAATTTGGAAAGAAAGAATTATCCTGAAGTTTCGATCATTGAATAAGTAGGAAATCTTTTTGTTTTGAATCAAAATTTGTATAGCAAAAAAAAAGACTGAGATCGAGTGGTCAATAAGCAGATTACTTAATTCTTCAAGGACATGGCCCATATAGTTTTAACACATGTTGTCAAACTTTTTTCCAATTTGATTGAAATGAGATTGACATCCCTTCAATGGACATTTGATCGTGATCTGCGAATTTTTCTGAAAAATAAATTTTGCCTTTGTCCAACATTCGTATGTGAAAATTTTCCTGTCGCAATAATTAACGGACTTGATCTGTCTTTCAGGGTTATTTGGGTCCCGCCAATCAATGACGGCTATTGGCATCACGTGGGAGTATCGTGGTCTGTTAGAAAATACGCTATTTTTCTTGACGGTACTTTGGTTTACAGTGGAAATGATCTCGGCTCGAGTTCACCGTTGAAAGCTGGAGGTGTCTTCGTTGTAGGGCAGAAACCAAAAAGAACAAAAGGGACTTCCAACAATTCATCTTTCGTCAAGCTGAGTCAACTAAATGTATTGAGTGAGTTTATATCTACTGTTGCCAGCGGCGTAGCCAGAACGATAATTGGGGGGGTCCATATTCATATATTCGTGATACGCAGGATTAATTTCTTTTCAAATCAATTGTCTTTACAGTCTGTTTACATGAATATATGAATATGGACCCCCCCAATTATCGATGCTGGCTACGCCAGTGACTGTTGCTGATGTCGAAAAAAAATTACAAACCAAACTTGCTTAAATATTGAATTTAGAGATGTAATAAACTCGATTTTCCTAAAGGACAGCTATGGTTATATGGTCGTCAAGGAAAAGCCAAGTTCGTGTAAGCCACTTCGAAAAAGTAAGTTCTAATTCCAATTTCTTACCGCCCTAACGAAATGAAACTTGCATGAAATCATTTCCCTTTCCAAAAGTTGCTGAATTACCCTGAAATCTACCCGATAGAAAAAAATCAGTAACATTTGATATCATGTATCTGGGGTTTTTTTCAGACCCAAAGTATGACATTGTTATAACAGACGTCCATACCTTAAAATGGGAAGAAATTCAACAACTTGACGCTTTCACAATTACAACGTGGATAAAATACAAGAAAACGCCAGTGGATGTGGACAAAGAATCTCTGTTTTCGAAATAACTTGCCAATCAGCAAACTTGTTACCGAAAAGGAATGTTCTATCAAACGTTACACCGTTAACCTAGCTATTTTTTACTCGCTTGAAATAACATGGCGATTCAAGACACTACTTACTGTACTAGTCCATAACATATCTTTAAGACACGAGAAGAACGGCTTTATTGTACTGTTGCATTCCCCTGATGCACGTATTCTCCACTAATAAACAAACTAGAAAGTGAATGTTAAATCGAAACCCATGCATTCAGAAAGGTTACGTTGCCAGAACTAACTAATGTTCAAACGTTTCAGAGAAGCAAGAATACCAATCTTTTGGAATGAAGATCCAGCATATTGGCACCACATTTCTACCACATGGTCGAGTAGTACAGGCCACTGGAAGATATATCTGGATGGTTCCTTGGTCTCTATCATGCAGGCTGTGGCTTCAAATATTACCATTCTTGCAGGAGGACAACTTTGCTTGCAATTCAGTAAGAGGCATAAATTCTAGTTCAAAATTTGCACGCTGCATTAGAACTCTCTCAAACTTTTTGTTTTCATTCGTCGAGACTTTACTGATTTTTCTTGCGCCTTTTTAGGATCATATGTGCGCTATAAAAATTGAAAATTATTAATATAATTATATTTAACAGCAAATGACCTTGTTTCCATGTTTTCATGTGAGAGAAAGGTAAATAGCATAATCTTACGATCATTAACAAAATGATTATTCTTACATACTTAATTAGTACCATATTTAGCGATGACCATGAGTGTAACAAAAACGAGGCTATTTGCACGGTAAATGGAAATCAGAGAAAAGGTCTGTTATTATCGAATTTCTGGTGGATACATGCACAATATCTCTCAAAGTAGACTGAATATTTGGAACTATGAAATTGATGGACGTGCTTTATCGTTAATGGCAATCAAAAGACCATTGTTTGAAAATGGTAATATCTTCGCGTGGTATGGAATAAAGTCAAAGGTTAAAGAAGATGTTTACTTCAAAGAGACACCGGA